AAGTAACCGGCGAGCGGACAAAAAGCAATTCTGGCAAAAATAGTAACAGTGAACTCAAGAGAATAAAAGTAAATGGGTCAAAACAATGTTAACTTTAAAGTTGAAAAAGAAATCAGGCCTGAGACTTGACGAAGGCAATCGGCTCACTGATTACGAAATAAAAGGGTTGAAAAAATAAAACTAAGGGAATAGAGGAAATGGTCTGTCAATGCAAAGGCAAACTTACGAGAATAAGCAAATACAAAAAATTAAAAAATCCTGGATATAAATAATAAAAGGTAAGCATGCATCAGGTATGCAAATAAATTAAAAATAAAGCCGATTCAGCCTCATAGTAACTGTTGTTCCAGCTTCTTTACATTATACTGATTGAATTAAATATAATCTAATTCATTGCCTTGCCTGATGGACTTCTAAAAGAGGTCCTTCCGAAAGGGCCTATAGGATCATTAAATAAGCAGTCTCCGAGGTATGGTTTCGAGTCAACCTCCGAGTATTTCCTAAGAGCCTAGAGTCTGTTTATAACTATGTAATACTGGAGACCCTTGGATGATTAAAATAAATTGCAAAATAAGCCTAACGTGTTGGTATTATAGCGCCGATAATCTGAGCCATATATTTAAGATTTACTCTGAACGATTACATTAAAACAGGATTATTTCATAATCGGTGGCTTCAACAGTCAAAATCTCCATCAGCCAGATTGATTGATTGTATGACCGCCGGAAATGCTATGCATTAAAGTTGATAGTCACAAATTGGTACTAATTTCTTCCACTGATAAGATCATTTACATTTTTAGTGAAGGTGTGTGATGAAGAGATTCAAAAGTCGACCCTACCATAAGATGACGACAGATTCTTATTGGCTTGCTGTCGACTAGCTTTACTGTAACATTCTCGTTGACGTTGTCGCCGAGGCGATCTCCTCCGATTCTGGTGAAAATGTGCTAAGCTTTTATGCGTCATACGACATTTTTAGAGCAAAGGGTACTATTCAGACAACCATATTTAAGCTAACGAGTCAACAAATCCCTAAATATGTTATGTTCTATTCTAATCACTTTGAGCAATCACTGCTGATTTCCTACATATACGTAAAAATAAAGGTCTTTAAACACACACATGCTTCTAGATTAATATATGACTGGAACTAATCAAATCACTTTATACCTTATCGAAATGCATAAATATAGGGTATATATATAAAGCAAGGAAGTCTTCTTGATTAGTTTGCTTGAATATGGTTTTAAGAATGATCATTTGCTCTGGTGATGGGAAGGCTTAGCACGTTTTCACCGGAATCGAACAAGGTTGCTCAGGTAACAGCTAAGACAATTTCCGCCATCGTCTAAAAATGGGATTCACCCTTCCATTCGCCTCATCACACACCTTCACTTACAATGGAAGTTAGGTCAATAATTGTAAAAAAAGAGATTTATCAGAACCCTACTTTTTTTCGGGTATCCATTTTACCAACTGAAACAATGCTGAAAGAATAATGAAACGATTGGCAGAAAAGTCTATAGACACACTTTAAGCCAGAGTAGAGAATTCCGATGTGAGTAGCTCTCGAATCATTCATCGTGATAAAAGACCTATCAATCTATAAGGAAATTGTACATACGGATGGATTGAAACTCACCCCACGAAATTGACTGAGCATAGAAACCACTGGCTTTCTGAGAATTCTTTGAATGTCCTTTACTATCTTTAGAAAACATGCCTTCAAATTCCATGAATAAATTTCCACTGTAAATTATTCCTAACCTTCCGCTATGACGGGCCTGGGTTAGAATCGGAAAAATCCCAAATCATTCATGTGTGATCTAAAAGTTATCATGTGTAGTGGCCGGTCACTCGCATAATGTAGAGATAAAAGCTCTTCCTTTACTCCCGACCTGATATTGATGATGGCTTTCCACTATTCGAGTATCTTCACTTTGCATCAGGTTGTTGCGAAAACTTACAGTTGATACATATACAAACTCGGTTTTCATCCTATTTCTGTTAAGTCGAGATGAGACATGAGCATGCCGCCAATCAGTAGTCCTTCGTGCTAATTAAAAGAGCCACAGGCTGTGAGTAAGGTCAGACCAGCCTAATTATCTGATCCACCGATATATGATTGATAGAGTGATGCATACAGCAGAAACTTGAATGCAAGTTTATTGCAGAACGTGATAATAAATAGCCAGTTTCTTTTGTATGCCTTTTAGCAAGAAGGGCAAGGAAGAGAATCGGTGGCAAAAAGTGCATAAAATCGAAACGATAGAAAATTAACGTGGTGCAAGAGCCCGACAACAGAGGATTAAAAATGCCCACATAATAAAGACCAAAATGGAAAAAAGGAGGTAATCTAAGGTGAAAAAGAGGCTAAATGAGACAGGGACCAGCATGCCAAGATTGAAAATTTACGCAAAATGTCGTATACATAATGAAACATGCAATTCCCCCATACCAGGAAGAGTGGGTGCGATAGCAGAAACATGTATAAGGAAATCTAGCGGTGAGATGACCCAGATACAGGTGACCAGAGAAGCATGGAGTACACATAGACATGGCTAGGGAGAGAGCAGTAGTATGAGGAAAATAAATGGAATAGTAAAAACAGAATACTGGTAATGAAGATTATGATAGTGGTAGTGATAGTGGGAGAGAAATGATATTTTAAGCTTGTCGAGAAATAAGGATAGTAAAAGCGGTTGGTGGTCAAGAGAAGCAGACAAAGTAATGGTAGCAGCAGACATTATATGACAACAATGATAATTCAGGTGCAGATAAAATGGGAGAAGAAACAACTCACCTCTCCAAAGTTAACCTGCAATTTTGTCAAATGGATTAGTAAAGGGAAAAATTATCAGGATACAAAAGATGGAAAATAATTTGGTCAATCCAAGGGTCATCATTGCCTACTGCTCTGCATTGATGGAAAAGGTGTTGAGCCTTTCAGACGGAGAACGTTTACAAAAATATGTGAACCATAGAAAAATAGTAGTGTTTCTATTCTAGACTGGTCAAATAATGGGCAGTTAAATGGAGATCAGGTAGAATCAAGCGAAAGCGGTGGTGGATTGGGCACGGTGATATAATTGAAGTATGAATCAACAAATGAAAAGTTTGAGAGAATAAGTGATCAAAGAGAAAAAAGAGACAGTAACAATAATCGTTTTATGGAAGGTGGTTTAATGGGTCGAGGTCAAAGAAGATTAAAGCGATCTCCCTTGCCGCATGAGACAATCAACAATACAACACTGTGCTGCCCAGCTCGAACGTAGTAGCTTAAATAGTAAAGTATAGGCCAAATTCAGGACGAAAGTAGGTTGATTATTTTCCACAAAAATTCACTGTAAAATCTGATCATTATCGAGAAGCCAGTGTTCTAAACATGTAAAAGTACCAGAAGTTTGTCGAATGGACTCATTCTTACTGAACGATAAAAAATGAGGCATCTTTAACTGAATTAAACCGAACGAGAAAACAATTGTTAAAGGCTCCCAGGCTGGTAAGCGCCAAAGGCGGCGCATCTTTCCTTTTGTGTTGATTTTGATCTTAATAATGCTCTGGATAATATTTCATTTCATTTTTATCGACATCTTTTAAGCTTAATCTCTTAATAGTCTGGCTAATCTTTTGATTTATATAAAATTAGGAAACACTCGGCGAAAGAGCTGAGAATAAATTCTTACATTGCGTTCAGCAAAAAATTCAATTCAATTTGGTACATAACAAAAAGTTTTCCCGCCTAAACTCCATTATTACCCCATTCTTCCATTGGTTAAGTAAATATGGTGGTTGCACCAGGAAATAGTTATGTTATGGGTAATCCTATTAGTAAAGAAGAAAAGTCAAATCTGAAGGAAATTAGAAGCTATAAAATAGACACAGTTTCGTACAAAATAATAAAAATTATTCGCATTTTACGCATTCGATAAAACTTTATTCTTTGACGGCATATGCCACTCTTTTGCCGAATTACAATAAACTCAACTAGCAACAAAACATATAGGAAGCATACCTGAAATGAAGTAAGAGCCGTCCAAGAATACCTACTTTGTTGGGCAACTGCAATGAAAGGATAGATTCATAGAGAGTTCCATAATCCAATCTGATGTGGAAAAAAATATAGCCAATGCATTCTCACATAATTTAATAAAGTAGACGATAGTTTGTTTCTTACTATATGCGTTATTGTTGCAAACAAAGGAGAGGAATTCTTCGTGACTTACATTGGCGTGTTTTCAAGGTAATTTTGCAACTAAATTTCGTTTACAGAATGATCAACTGTAAGTACCATAGCTTTCCTTAGGGTGGAAGGTAGTCAGGTAGAATCTATAAAATTAGCTCAATTGTCTCTTTCCCAAATGATTAAGAACTGGTATTATCTGAAGCCTAATCCACTCAACAATGTGAGTCTCCAGCAGTAAGTAAACTATATAAAAAAAACAATAATCGATGTACACACGTACCCCCATATAGATAGTAATGTGTGTCAAAATAGAGATAAATCTATTTTGAATATATGAAGACCAAGATGTTGTGGCCTCTGGTGTGGTCACAGTCTCTTTTCGAATGGCAAATT